ATGTGTGCTACATTTTAATAAAAGTTTCCCTCCCATCTCCTTTCCCTCCTTCCATTTGATGAAGAGTGAACAAGCAAACATAAATACTGTTTATTTTTTAATGGAAAGATGTGGCCTGCAATCTTGATACTATTCTTTTTTCCCTAAGCTTTTTGCTTCTTCTCTACATCACAGTGTCTTATGCAAATATGCAGAAAATAGATTATGTCCAAGCATCCTTTATTCCTCATGTATTGCACATTAAATGGGAACATTTATATAACCAACTCACAAATAAAAATGTGTAATTTTAAAACTTCTTTCCCCTGGGACTCTGGAGGGAACAATTACGTATTTCTCTTCTAGAAGGGTGTTCTTCAGTTACACCTCTACTGATTCTTTCACACCTATGAGGCAGATGCCAACTACACAGCTAAAACAGGACTCGAAACTGTGACTGCAGCATCTGTGTGTGTGTGGGAGCAGGTTAGTGTTTGGGGTGGGGAAGAGGAAAACTGGGTCAATGCCTCCTGCCAGTGAATGTGACAAAGCTGCTAAATATGAAGCTTGTGTTTTATAGTCAGTCCGTGATTGGGATGGGTAGTTCTGCTCCTCTGGTTCGTGTCACTCTTTGGTCAATGCACCCGATAAACTCAGGATGAGCTGTAGGACTAAGGATTCCAGCATGCCTCCCACCCCCAGACTGGGGACTGAATACAGGGCCTTTGCATTTATTTTTTATTTTGAGATAGGCCCTCAAAATAAGTCAAAATTGCCCAGGCTGGGCTTGAACTTGGGATCCTCCTGCCTCAGCTTCCCAGAGTGCTGGGATTATAGGCATGTGCAACTATGTCAACTTCTAGAATGTTCCTTAACTGGTTAATTAGCCAACTTACTGCCAGGGCAATCTGGGGTACAAAATAAAATACCTGCACCCCAATTTGACAATATACAGTGATACTTCAATTGTTGAATGGCTCCAAGCTTGAACTCCACTACTCCAACTGCAAGGTTAAAAAATAATTTGCTTGGTGTTTGAAACTTTGCTCAATGGAACCGAAAACCTGACTTGAAAAAGCTGTACTGACCAAGAGCAAGTCACGTGTCTCATCTTGCCATAGACACAAAGGGGTTTTTACAGCTGAATGGGCCCCAAATAGCCCAGATTCTTGTGCAGGACAAGGAGAGAATTGCCAAGCATACACCTCGTAGTAAGCAGTAAGTGGCTACATTTATTGAAGATTATAGGACAGTAGGAACAGACAGAAGGGTGAAGGGGGAAAGGCGGAGGAAGAGGAACCTAGGTAACTCAGGTTTCCAGTATTTAAAAGGTTGGGCACCTCTAACTCCAGTTCCTCTCACTGTGGTCAGACACCTCTGACTCCAGCTGCTGCCCACTCATCCCTCACTAGTGTCCACTGGGCCTCTTGGCGTCCCAAGTTTAAACATGGCTAATCATTAGGGTGGTGTTGTGTTTATAGTTGAATGAGAGGAAGGGAGTGGCTCCCTCAATTTCCTTGTTTCTAGGGTGATGCTTCAGTCTAAGCACTGCTCTCACCAGACACATACAGTGCTTGTGTTAATGCTTTAAAACCTGCATCACTGTGCTTTTTTGTTTGTGTTATTTGAGAAAAATATCATAACCATGGCTCCAAATAAAGTTAGTGATACCAGCAGCAAAGTTAACAGGAAAACTATGAGAACCATGACAGAGTTAAAGAAAGAAATCATTGCAAAATTTGTTTAAATCCTGGAAAAATGAATTTATAAGTGCAATTTTTGGGCCTCAAACCCATTATTTGGGTTTCCATTATTTCTTATGGGAAAAAAGATGTTCAGCTCTTGAACTTTTCTCTTTGGTACCAGGGATCAAACTCAGGACCTTGTGCTTTCGAGGCAGGTGGCAGCGGCACCACTGAGCTAAATCCCCTGCCCAACTCTTGAACTTTTTAGTGTTCCAATAGGAATTTGGAAAGAGTCCGACAACCGAATATCACCGTATATGAAAAGATTGCTTGAAAGGTCACTTCACTGGTTTCCTTAGGCTCAGGTGCTGTCCTAGTCGGGGAGTAGGTGTTATCTACCCATCTTTCAAAGATAAATACTTACATTTGGGGATTTGATTTGGGTGTGGCCTGTTGGTGTGTCCACAGTTTACTCAGGGTCAGAAGAGACATCGTAGAGGAAAAAGGCCCAGACCTTGCTGTTCTACACTGTGTGTCAAAAATATAAACTGTGTCTAGTGGGAGAGGATGAGTTCACAGTGAGGCTACAGGCAGACACTTCAAAGGAGTCCTTAAGAAAGAACCCATCCAAAGAGAGGGACTCCAAAAAAGACAAGGCTTACACTTAGGAGGGAGGGTTTGCTTCCAGGATACACAATGGGGCTGACTCCAGATCTTATTGCAACTTGAGCTGTAATGTACTTTGGAAAAACAGCTTGGTATATGTGAATTGGAAAAGCTGCACAATAAAGACTGCAGCATCTAGGGCTCAAGAGAGTCTTGTATAGATATTGCACTAAAGAAATAGAACTGTCTTGAAGTCATGCACCTCCTCAGAGGAGCTCAGCCTCACTTGATTCCCAGTCTTCAGCACAGGGCTCTACTTTCCTGAAAAAATGGTTCCTGGAACTTTGAACAGTTCCCATGGTCTTAAAGCCCCTGCTGCTACCCTTAGGAGGAGAATTGGAGGGTTCTCTAAGTAGGATTGAGCCATGAAATCCTACTAAGCTCCTATTCTCAGTTCCTATTCTATTAGACCCATGGAGTCTGGATTATTTAGTGGAGCTGCTTAGAGGCACCATATGACTGACCTCAAAGTGCAAGGATAGTATGAGCTGTAGAACAGATTTGGATCAAAAAGAGAAAATTTTTTGAAGTGTTTGCAGGCAAATTTCTTTCCTTTACACCCATACCTGTAGGCTGTTCTAGGAAATAGTGACTCTAAATAGTCTCTCTGGAAATATCCTGCTGAGAATAAGCTAGTTTTTGAAGCTGTAGCCAGTTAGTTAACATGCCACCTTGTACTTGCTTTCCTTCTAGCCTTCCTTACTTTCCTTTTCCCTTTGCTTTTATTTCCCTGCATTTACAGCCCCAAATGAGTGACTAGAATACAACTCAGGTTGTTTTTTAGAGAGCCTATGCTAACATAAATGTAAAAAGTGGTGAACCTAGTGAAAGTTTGCCTTGAAAGTAGGGATATGGAAATACTTTGAGGCGTTCAGTGTGATTTAGTATCCACAGTAGATTAGGGGCAGCAGATCCAGGCTCTGGATCCATCAGGAAGAGGGTTGTAGATATGTTTGGAGGGGAAGGGTAGAGAGTCATTATAGAATTCTTCTGCTAGAAAGCATAGTTCCTGTTCTGTGGCAGTTGACAACAGGTAAATAACTAAAAGACCTTTTCGTGGACATATATGCCTCTATTCCAGAGAATGAAGAAATTCCTTAGGCAAGGCACTCAACTGAGGGGTGAAATTTATTCACAGCATCAAGCTTATATAACAATAAGTGACAACAGGAAATAATCAACATATCACTGTAAATGGAGAGAATTAGAGAATTAATGACTCTCTTGTGAAAACCTCGGAAGTCTGTGCTTTGTTTTCTAAGGTGGGTAGAGTGTTTCTTGTAGGTACCCATCACATTACTTAATCCTCATCACAGTCCAGGGGAGCAGACATCATTCTCATTCATCCATATTACTGATCAGGAATGGGAAACTGAAGGAGGTTAAGTACACTGAGGCTACACAGATTAGGATTTGAACCACCTTGAGGCTTCTTCATTCAAAATCCCAGCTGTTTTTCGACAACCAAGGATGGGGTGAGCTTCACTAGAGATCTGAAACAGTTTCAGGTGGTTAGTAACTCCACTTCAAGCAATGAATCAAGACAAAAGGGAAATGATTAAAAGATTGAGGGAAGTGGGACCCCTTTAAAGTTGTGCCAGGTAAGGTAATTTGTATTTGGATCAGAGACCAATAATTTATGTAGATTCACATACATCTTTTTCAGATATGCATAAATTGGGGAGCGTGTGGAGTGTTGTATAACTGCGTTTATATGTGTTCAACACACTGTATAATTGACTCAATTATCCATGTGTGGATTATTCACTTTTAATTTGCAATCTGGTTTCTCCTTTCAGTTAGGATGCTTTTGGGTGGCTTCAGGAATGCCAACTAATTTAAATAATAATTTAAGTAAAACATAATTAGGAAGGAAAATTAAATTCAATCTTTTGCCAGCTCTTGAAGATTCTGCTTCTGAAATGTAACTCTGGTGTACCTACTGTTGTTTTATTTCCCAGTGCGTGTTTAGTATCACAGGATTTTATTGCTTCCCATAGATTATTTCAATAGTAGTGTATGTAGCTTTTCTGCTTACTTCTTTCCAATCCAATTGTTACTACTGTCTGGAGAATAACAACAAAAAACAGCGCCCCTCCCAAAATTTCTTTATTTGAAAACATTTAATGCACAGGAAAAATAAAGCCAAAACCAAAACCCCCAAACCCAAGACCCCAACATTTACTTAATGGCCACCCATTCCTTTCTAGATTAAGTGCACATGCCCAAACCTGTTGTCATTCAAGCTTCTTACAGCCTTAATTCCCAATTGTTCAAACTCCTTTCAAAACATGCTTCTCCTCCCCAGCCTTTGCTGACTCTGCTCCCTTGCCTGGAACACCCTCCTCCTTTCTAGAGCTTACTGCATCTGCCACCTGCCCAAGGTTTCCTATTCCTACCCATGACTGCTTCTGAATCCTCGTAACTGCGGGTACAGACACATGACATCTATAATCCATCTATACACATATACACACATGCCTAACCAAGTGTGCAGATACATAAATAAATACATGTGTTACAGCCTTAACTCTGACACGGTCACAGGGGCTGCGAGGACGGCGGTGCACCCCCATCCCGCCAGCCCCAGCCTTCCCGGACGCGGCCCCGGCCTCCAGGCGCTCCGCCCGCCCGCTGGAGCCCAGGCGCCAGCGGCTGCGGCGCGGGGTGGCCCTTCCGGCTTTCCGTCCGCCGGCAGTCATTGGTCGGGCTCCGCGCGGCTGACAGGCTTGGCGGGCAAGGGAGCTTCGAGGATGGCGGCGTCCGCGGCACTGGTCCTGCCAGACAGCCCCAGGTAACTGTCCGCCCGGCCGCTTGCGGTGGCCGCACCACTGTGTCGCTGACAGGGCCCACGCAAGGACGGTCTTGCTCCTGTCGTCTCGGCGGGCCCGGCCGGGCCTGGGTCCGGCGGGCTCGGGCTCCGGGTGCCATGCGGGCCGGGGTCGAGGGCGCGGCCCGCGGCGCCTCCGCCTCACCGCGGTTGTCCTGTGCCCTCGCAGGCGCCGGGCCGCACGGTGTGAGAAGTTCCGGACGCCGTCTGAGTTCTGCCCAGTCACGTGGGGAGGATCGTCTCAGCGTTCAGTCCACCAGACCTGACGCTGAGAAGTCTCCCTCGGTGCGGGAGGGTGTTCAGAACCGGTTACTGCTCGTTTTAAGTCAATATTGAACAGGCTTCAGGCCAATTCTCTGTTGGTAACAGTGTCTAGCCATACTTTGGTTATATTGCTTTGTTTTCCATTTTATTTATTTTTTTAGTTAATTTCTCTGTGAAGTAGAGTAGAGTTAGCTATACATGGTGGTGCCCCTTTTTTTGTTTTGAGATGAGGCCTTGCTACAGTATTTTCTCCAGGTCGGTAATCAACCGCCCCAGTAGTTGGGACTGGAGGCATATGCCACCACTCCCACATTAAGGTTTCCTTTTAAAATTACATAAGTAAAAATGACTCAATTTAACGAGTATAATGAAATAATTAGGGCAGATGGTGTGTAGATGCCGAAATACTGAAGTATATAAACAGATAATTGAAGTGGGAGAAAAACTGTACCTGGATTGGGTAGAAATGTTCCTGAGGAAGAGAATTGTTATTTTAAAGTTTTTCCTTCATCCTGTATTCCTTTGGTTCTGATAACCAGTCCTTTTCCCCAAACAAGTGTACTGTGGGAACATGCACTCCAGCAGTAACCCTTGTCCAGTATGGTGCAGAATTGATTGTATCACATTATTTGAAGTTGATTATTACAAGTGAAATAGGGGTTTAAAATTATTGTGTTTGGAACACCACATGATTTTGTTTGCAGTGTTTTCCTGCCATTATTTGCCGTGCAATACCTTTTGTTTTTGGTGTAATTGCCCAAGTTTTCACTCCCCACTTCTCTTTTCAGAGTGTCATCTTAGATTAAGTGGCTATTTGAGGATCCACTACTGAATTATTGCTGTTCCCCACAGAGCACATGCTTCCTCTAATAGTTTGCTTTGCCCACAACAAGAGAAAATTTATTGAATGGACCTTTCCAACAGAATCCTCTTGGGGAGACATGGCTTTGGATATGTTCAGATTGCTTAACTGTGATGACTGCCACCTGTTTTTACTTTATTTCACTCAGGCTAAATATGTAGCAATCAGTTGTTGAAATTTATAGACAACTACAGCAAGTACATTTTAAAACTCATTTTAAAACTTTGTTTTACATATTTATTTAGCATGAAAAAAGCAGTGTTGCTGATAAATACAATAGATATAGGAAGATTTCCACGATTGCTTACCCGAATTCTTCAGAAACTTCACCTGAAGGTTTGTAGTTTTGTATTTTTAAAGCTTGTAAAACTTCCTTCTGATTATACTGAAATGCGGTGTTATGATTTGGAGAGAGAGAGAGAGAGAGAGAGAGAGAGAGAGAGAGACTGTGTTTGTAAAATATGGTATTTTCCAGTGTGTTCTCAGTAACACTGGTTCTGAGGAAGATTTGATAATATTCCATGGTCATCCATTTGGGAAATTCAATATTCAATAAAACTAATTATTTAAAATTATGGAACTTTGTGGAGTATTTTATATGTTGGTGTTTGTGGTAAATATGTATGTGGTGAATATGATGTATAATATTTTCCAAATGTGGTTGACCTTGGAACTATTTTATTATGGTATATATTTTGGGAATAAATTCTGTAGAACATGCTTTGGGAAAATTCTTATTTCATTCATCCTCTTAAAAATAATTCTGTGGTATTTGCTGTCAACTAGTTATCCTTTTTAAATTTTATCTTTCTTCTATTTTTTATTTAAAGGGCGTGGTTGCTTTAGACACACAAATGTTTGGTCATTATTCTACTTGGGCATGTTTATGGAGCACCCATTAATTTCTTCACCTGATGTCAGGCATCCATATCAAATGAGAAAGAAAACTTATTCTTCCTTTTCTTGGCTGGAGGCAGCCACAGAGCCATGCTCTGCTCCTTCTCAAATATAAGTTTTTACAGTTCTAGTTCAAGTCCTTTCCCTTGGAGGAAGAATAATCACTTTCAAAACAGGCACCATCTGTAGCCGTCTCTCTCTCTTTCTTCCTTTCTTTTTTTTTTTTTGGTACTGGGATTGAACTTGGGACCTTGTGCTTTTGAGGCAGGCGACAGAACCGCTGAGCTAAATCCCTGGCCCACCATCTCACTTTCTGTTGCTTCTTTACAATACAATTCCATTACTCTTCTAAGTGTTCTAAATGTTTTTCTCTTTTTTTGATACTTGAAATCGAACTCAGGATGTGTGATTTCCAGGCAGGTGCGTCCACTGAGCTAAATCCCTGGTCCATTTTTCTCTTAATAAAAGATTGATCATATTTTTATAGTGTTCAGAGTGATTATCCATTGCTCCATGGATGAAAGTTCAAACTCCTTAACATTGTATACAGTATATGGCCCATTATAACATGGCTGCAGCCTTCATTTTCCCACTTTTCAAGTGTTCTTGTCACACTGAACAGTACTGTTTTGCTTCACTGTACCATGAACTTTTTCAGCTGCATATCGGTGCATGTAGCCTTCTGTGTGACTCCAAATGTCCTTCTCTTCTCCTGAGAAAACCGTTCATCCTTCAAGGATTTTGTAGGCTCACTCAGCAGTTTATTTTCTTTTCTGTTCTTTTAAACACTTGGTTGATTCTTACCTTTCTTTCAGATCTGATCATAAGTATTTGTTTCATGACTAGAAGACAACTAAATCCAGAAACCTCTTTACCTGTCTACCTGCCTCTGCCCTTAAATATCTTGAGGGGCATGTCTTACTAATCTTTATACACATACCTAATACATTGCTGATTATACAATTGGTGCTCAGTATAAATTCTTGAAGTTAATTCTTTCTTTGCCATGGGAAACAAAACAGATATAGATCCTCTAAGCTCCTGCCTGTAATGTATTTGTAATTGAGATGGAGAGACAAGAGAAATAACAATAACAGGAGCCATACTCTATGGCATTTACTATTCATAAATGGTTACACCAGTTTCTCTGTGATTGGTACTGTTCTAATGGTTTTGTATTATTAACTCATCTAATCCTTTTAGCAATTTGAAGAGGAGAGTGTTGTCATCCTGATCTTATCCATAAGCAAGCAGAGAGAATCCAGTTAAGTAATGTGCCCAAAGTCACCCAGTCAGCTGGCAGTTTTGGCTCGCTCCAGAGTCTATCCCTTTAACCCATTTCACTAAACACAGGAAAGAGGAGAAAACTTCTACAAATCAACCCAAAAGTGAATGACGCAGGCAGTAAATACAGAAGTTCGTTTTATTTTCTGAGATAGGGGCGACCTTAAATATATAAAATAATACAGGACAAGAAACTTGTCCATATCTTTGTTCTTGGTTCTGAGGAGGATGGAGCATTTGCAGGGAAAATTGTGATGTGTGGTTTGCCTTTGACCCTTTTGGTCACCTTTGGAGTTGAGAGTAAGTTAGTAGCTCTCCTCGAGTTAACTGAGTAACAGGGACATTTCACAGAGGCCCTGAAGGCTGTGTCATCAGAGGTAGATAGAAGTTGAGATGAGAATGTGTGCCTGTTGAGAACTGAAGTAACTGAGATTAGAAACAGATGTGAATGTTTGTCAAGGAAATATCAGAAAGGGTATAAAAATTATTTTTTCCTGGACAGCTTCAGTGGATAATTTTCCAGAGGGACTTTTGTTGTGATAAGGATTCCTAAAGCTTGCAGCAAATCTTAGAATCTGCCACCTTATTTTTATGTACTTTAGGTCTGGCAAGATGGCTATTAACCTTGAGACAAGCAAAGCCCTTAGAACAGTGGAATGTGAGGCAGATAGACTGTTGAAGAGGCTTAGGGATTTTGTTGCCACTCTAAATGTCATCAGCTTGGTAATTTTATTTTACCAAATTTTATCTGGTTATAGGTAGAGACTGTCTGTTTTTGTCCAGGCTGGTTACTTGGAATCCGTAGTAGGTATCAACCTGAAAAAACTAAGGCAGCTTACGTATAGAATATAGGCATGCCTGACACAGATCTGGGAGTCCTCATTGAACTGGCCATTTTCCTGGCTCATCGTAGCATAGACAAATGGATTTTGTTTCGTGGTTTGTTTTTTTGAGGGGAGCAGTGTCACAGTGTGTAAAGGTTGCTGCTGGTGTTTAATATCCTGGAACTGTAAATATCTTGTAATGTCTTATCAGCGTGACAGTTGTCCACAGTCAGAAACATGGAAGGGTGTAGGATGTCCTTTCATAGTTGAGAATTTGTAGCCTCTGAGCTTAAAAATTTACTGCTACAACTCATGTGATTAAAAAAAACGAACTTCAGGGCTAGGGATTTAGCTCAGAGGTTCTGGCCGCCTGCCTCGCAAGCGCAAGGAATCGAGTTTGATCCTCGGTACTAAAACAAAACAAAACAAAATGAACTTCAGTACTTTACTTCAAAGAAGAGATTTTACGCCATCCCAGAAAGCCTACTGATGTAACTGTGATCCATATCTAGTTCTGACAAGTCAGCCATGGAAGGGCAAACTGGGAAATGAAGGTGCTGCTATAATGGGCATGTGGATAGTTTCAAGAGATGAGGGCAAATCATGAAATGAAATAGAAAAATTATGAAAATCGCACAAGAAATATCAAAGTTCAGAAACCTGAGACTTTTAAAACTGAAGTGAAAATCATCTTGTTCTCAGCATTTCTTTAGGAGACTATAGCACAGAACGTCAGTGCTCATAATTATGAACTGAATCATCACATGAAGTTAGTATAAGCCAACTTATTTTGTTTATAAATGCCTAGAAATGAGTGTCACACTTTTAAAAATATATAAGCCTATCAGTTTCCTTTCACTGTGAATTCACCTTAAGTTCTCATTACCTATATGAATAAGTGAATCTTCTGTTTTAAGTTCAGCAGTGTAGCATATGCTAATAGATTGCTATTTGTTTGTAGGCTGAGAGCAGTTTCAGTGAAGAAGAAGAAGAAAAACTTCAAGCTGCATTTTCTCTAGAGAAACAAGATCTTCACCTAGTTCTTGAAACAATATCATTTATTTTAGAACAGGTATTTTTATTGCCTCAAATTTTCTACAGTTTGTTTACTGTGTATTTGTATTGCTGTGATATCTATGACATTTTAATTTTTTTAAAAAAAATGTATGCAAGATGGAAGCTGTGAATATATTTTAATCAAGAATTTTAAGAATTTTAATATGGTAAAAATATTTGAATGTATGATCTTTTTCTGGTTATTTCAGTCTACAGAAAACTGTTCAGTTATATTAATAAAGATTTGACAGAGCAAATTGAGACACTATTAACTTGAGACCGCTATGAAAGATTTGAAGTCACTGTTACTTGGCATAATGATTTGGAAAAATGAATACATTTACAAAATTAAATAAATTAAATAAATGATTTTAGGTATATTTGACTACCATGATAAATAAATTTAGAAAAGAACTATTGTCATAATATTTTTTCCTACTGAGCTTCTCTTCTGCTTCCATTCTTCTGCATCTCTTCTTGAGTTCATTATTTAAACACCTGTTCAGTCAACTCTCTTTTTTTGTTTCAGCCTTGACCCCTTGTGCATGTATTCTTCCCTTATTTGGGTTTTTTTCATCCTTGGCTCATAACAGTAGAGCACACTCTTAGTCTTTTATTATCTCATGTGTCAGTTATATTGCCTTCACTGGTTTTTGAATATTTTTGGGGCCAGGATCACATTTTTTGTGCATTGTGTTTAAGCACAGCACACTGCTGGGCTTGAAATAGATAAGGAATAAATTTCTGTTGTTTGACTAAGTAGAATATTTGTCAAATAAAAGATTAAATAGTACTGAAACCACTGAGCTAAATCCCCGGCCCTAAAGTGAAATTTTAACTAGTGTACCATTTGCACAGTCAGAGCAAAGAAGCTTTTTTGATTATTTAGTGGATTTAGGATTTTTTCCATCACAGGCAAAAATGAAATAACTTAGGCCTTTTAATCCTGAATCTTTTAGTCCTTAGTTGTGTATATTATTATTTATAAAACAACCAAAAATGTCTTGATTATAAGAGGAATGTGAAATGTTCTTTTGATATAAAGCCTTAAAAATTTCTGTATTTCGCTGCCTGCTGTGCAAGCACAAGGACCCGAGTTTGATCCCTGGTACAAAAAAAAAAAAAAAATTTTGTATTGATTGCAGTCAAGGTCTTTGTATAAATATAAAGGATATATGTAATTTTTTTCTCTTTAACAGGCAGTATATCACAATTCAAAGCCAGCAACTCTGCAGCAGCAATTAGAGAACATTCGTCTTGAACAAGACAAAGCAGAAGCATTTGTCAATACTTGGTCTTCTATGGGTCAAGAGACAGTTGAAAAGTTCAGGCAGAGGATTCTGGCTCCCCACAAGGTATAGGTGATACTAACCTAAATATATTTTTTAGTAATGTGCAACATAAATTGTTATACCTGAGAAGTCTCAAAAATGTTATTTTGTTGAGTGGTAAAGTCAAATTAAACAAATTACACATGTAATATTCTTGTAAAATTTTCTCTCTATATTAGCATATTTGGTACCATAATATGATTTAATTTTAACTGACAGTTTAAAATATGACTCCAAAATGTAACAATAGGAATGAGGTACTATTTTTTCTTTTTACATCTTTAAGCAGAGTGATTATTCCTTTATCTGAGTCCCTGTGCATAAGACTTACTTTAATTTTTACTGTATCATATATTTATTTGTTTTTATGTATTTGCATTAGTCCTTAGAATTTCTTGTCTGCAGCAGATACTCAGTTAATATTCATTAACTTCAGTAGTAAATAAAATGAATACTGGAAAAAATATAAAATAATCACAGCTCCATAGTAACCTTCTGTTCACTTAATGGAGTTTGAGATGATCATACAATTTTTGCCATTTTTCTATTAATATGTGGTGTTAAATTGTCCACTGTTCAGCCAACTTTATATTCCTGGGATAATTCTCGTGGTCATAATCCTTTTTATATGTTGCTGAATTTGATTTGCTGATATTTTATATTTTATCAAGGGTTTTTCCATCTATGTTTATGAAGGATATTCATCTGTAATTTTCTTGTGATGCCTTTGGCTTTTGTATCAGGTTAATACTGGCCTCATAAAATGAATTGAGAAGTCCCCTCATCTGTTTTCTGGAAGAATTTGTGAAGGATTAGTATTTTGCATTTCTGCCAGCATTATACAAAAGAGTTTTAGTAATTCCAAATTTTTGTCAGTACAGTAGTTGATATTATCAGTTGTTTTTATTAAAGCCATTCTATTAGGTTTGTGGTGATGTCTTGTTAATTTGCATTTCCCTAATATGTCAGTGATCTTTTTATGTGCTTAGTTGTCATACATATATCTTCTGTGGTCGCATAGCTGTTAGCCCTTTTGCCTAACTATATTTCTACATTATAACAGATGAAGAAGACTTTTTATATTAATGTAAAGAACACTCACAGATATAACTTCTAGAAGTATATGGATTTTTTTGTTGTTGCAATATGTGAAAGGTATTATTTATTTTCTTTTTCTGGAGTTGGTGATTTCTTTGAGTCTTCTAGATATAAATCTTTTGTCAGATGTATGATTTGACAATGTTTTTGTCTGTTTATGTTTTCCTCTAATTCTCTTCATAGTGCTTTTCACAGGGCAAAACCTTTTAATTCTGAAAAGGTTATATGTATAAATTTTTTTTCTTCACTCTATTTTTGGTTTTGTATCTAAGAATTTATAGCCTGATCCAGTATTATGTAAAGATTTTCTTTTTTGTTTCCTTTTAAATGTTTTATACATTTATGCTTTACATTTAGATTTAAGCCTAAGATCCATCCTCAGATAATTTTGTTTAAGGTTCAAGGTGCAGGTCACAGGTTGTTCTATATATAGTTGCCTCTTTGTTTCGTGATTGTTTGTGGATAACATTATACTTTTGTCAGTGAATTGCCTTTCTCCCTTATCAGAAATCATTTAACATATTTGTGTGAGTCTTTCTGTATTCTCTTTGATTCCACAAATCATTCTTCTATCTTTATGGCAATCTCCTTGCCTTAATTATTGTAGGTTTATAATAAAATAAAGTAGTATGGGTCTGCTGATTTTGTTGTTTTTCATAATTGTTTTGGCTGTTCTAGTTTCTTTGCCTTTACATATAAATTTGAAAATCAGCCTTCTATATTTACCAAAAAAATTGCTGTTGGGCTATTTATTGGTATTGTTTAATTTATAGCATAATTTGTGGGAAAATAATTTCTTAACAGTATCGAGTATATCTCTCCATTTAAGTCATATTTGATTTCTTTTGTCAATATTTTTCATATTTGACATACAGATCCAATGTGTGTTTTGTTAGATCTGTAGCTAAATATTTCATTCTTTTTTCTTTTTGAGCTATTATAAATGGTACGATTTTTAAAATTTTGTTTTCCAATTGTTTTATTGTTAATGTATAGAAATATAACACACACACACGCGCGCACACACACACACACACACACATATATATTTTTTTTTGAGACAGAGTCTTGCTGGGTAGGTCAGGCTGTCCTTGAACTTGCTGTGTAGCCTAGGCTGGGCTTGAACTTGTGACAACCCTTCTGGTTCAGCCTCCTGAATGCTGGAATTATAGGCATGCACCACCCTGCCCAGCTATACATAATTTATATTTCTATATTGACCTTCTGTCTTGTGACCTTGGTAAATTCATTAATAGGTGATAATGCTTTTTAAAATAATTATTGTGATTTTTTTTTTTTTTTAATGTAGACAATTGCATCTGTGAACAGGGACAGTTTTATTTCTTTCCAGTTTGTACAGCCAGCAAGTCTTTATCTTTTTTGCCTTCTTTTACTGACCAGGACTTTTAGAATATTCTTTTCTTATTCCCAGTTTTGGGGAGAAATCAGCCTCTCATCATTAAGCAAAATATTAGCTGTAAGTTTTTTAGAAAATGCCCTTGTATTGTTTTTCTATTGCTCCCCTTTTTTGCTGAACTGTTATTCTGACTGCTTTCAAGTTTCCTCAAGATTATTGCTTCACTTTTCATTATCTTAAGCTTTTATTTTTTTGAGACAGCGTTTTACAATGAACTCACTGTGTAGCCCAGGCTGGCCTTGAACTTGTGAAGATTCTCTTGTCTTAGGCTCCTGAGTGTTGGGATGACAGGCATGGACCACCATACTTGGCTTTTTTAATACTAGCCTGCTCTCTATTTATATTTTTCTTTATATTATAGGCTCCAGTTTTTCGTAATCATGCTGTAAAATTCAAAAATTTTTTTTTCTGCTTCCAATAGTAATACATTTCTCAATGTCTTCTGGTTGACTTTTAAAAAATATTTTATCTTCATACGTTTCATAACTTTAGCTTCTACATAAATGGTTTAATTGGTTGTCATACAATGTGCAAAAAAAGAAATTGAAAGGATTTGATTAATTGAACATTAGCCCTTTGAGAATGCTGGAAATTATATTTTGCTAGTTCCCAATATATGATAGGATAGCAAATACATTATTCTAATGACTTAAATTAATTAAGATAATATAATAGTAAGGAACATATATTGTGTTTATGGTGGGCCAGATAACTATGCTTTACATCTCACAAAAGTGATCAATAGTTCTAGTTTGTATTGATACAATTAGTAAGACTTTGAGAAATTAAGTAACTTGCCCATCGTCATGCAGGTAAGTAAGTGGCAGAGTTGCGATTTGACACACTCCTAAACTATCATGCTACCTTACCATGCAGATCATGGGTGTCAGATTTTTGGCTTGGGCTGCATTGAATGAAGAGGAATTGTCTTGGGCTGCATATAAAATATAATATATGGTATTTATACCCAGTGGAATCCTATTCTGCCATAAGGAAGGTTGAACTTGAGGCATTTGTAGATAAATGGATGCACCTCAGCACCATAATATGTAGTGAAATAAATCAGACACAGAAGCTTAAATATCACATGGTTTCTCTTATATGAGAAACCCAAAAATACAAATAAAGAGCAAAATAAAAGATAGATAATAGGAAATAGGAAGATCTTTCTCACATGGGGAGAAGGACAAGAGATGGAGGGAGGGGGAAGGGAGAAGAGGGAAAAGTGATGAAAAAAAATCAAAAAATAAAAATTGAAAAATATTTTAACTTATTAAATTATTTTATGAAATAACTCAAGCCTGTTTAATAATGAAATAAGAAAGCTTACTGCCTTCTTAGTAACAATAAATGGCTGTCTTCACATGCATATACATGTGTACGTAGGTTGAAACACAGTTTTCAGTAACTGATGTCTTTTACTCACCAAGTCTCACATTCACAAGTAACAGCCGAAACAAGAGGGTTTCCATTCAGTAGACTGTGTAGTGTGTGCAGGAGGTGGAGTTAGTACTGCACTGTACCCTCTTTTACAGTGTCACCTAAGTTGTCCTCACACAATAACCCATGATCCAGTCATGAAAAATATTGCTGAAATCATACAATGTTAACAGTTTACAGTTTTCTAGGGCAGCATTACTAGCCGTCCAGGGCTTGATGTGTCCTGTGGACTGGGGGTCAGATATGCCTGATGTAGTTGTTAGCAGTGAGTTTTTTTCTGTGTCAGGCATTATGCGGAGTGAGTTATATAGGGGGGTGTGTGTGTGTGTTTTGAAGAGTAAGGAAATAAAACTTTAGAAAGTGTAACTTTACCATGTTGTCCCTAGTGACCTGTGATGAAGCTAAGATGGGTCTCTGTCTCTTACGCATTGCTTCTTTTGCACTCTTATTATTAGGCAGTGGTAGCTAAAATAGCCATGTGTGAAAATAGATCATATTATTTAAATTGCAAAAAAAAGGGACACTGACTTATTATAGAGTGAAAAAAAGGAGTATGTACAATGATGTTGTTTTATGGTAATTTAGAAGGTCACCTATGGGAACTGTCTATGTGGTACTTGCAGGGGAATATATATGGTTAATAATCCCAAGTTCAAGGTAAGTAAGATTTGATTAAGTAGTAAGTTAAGTGGTAGGTCATTCCTGTAATTCCAGCACTCTTGAGAGTCTAGGTAGGAGGATCACAAATTCGAGCCCAGTCTGGGCATCTTGTCAATTTAACAAAATCCTGTTTCAAATAAAAAAACAAAACAAAAAAGGTTGGGGATGTAGCTCAGGGTTAGAGTACCCCTGAGTTTGATCCCCCAGTACTGCCAATTTTTTTAAGAAGATGTTTTATTGATGCAGTTTTTTAAAATAGACTTTTTTTAGCTTTATTGAGATGCCATTAAAAAATTAAAATTGTATGTATTCAGGATGTACAGTGTGATATAGTGTATGATGATTACCACAGTTAACACATCTAAAATTACATAGTTAACCTTTTTTTTGATTATGTGTATATATGAGA